CTGGCGATTCGGCACGAGAGAACATGCCCCCACCCCCGCTCCGCTTTGGGCTGGTGGAATTGAACAAGGAAACAGGAGATGCGGTTGTCCAACCCCAAACCTGCCTTCCGGAAATTTGAGCCCAAAAAACAAGTTGGGGGGTCCAAAAATAAAATAACAACGGAACAACCCTGGTTTCCCAACCCCAAACCATTCTTTGATCCATTTTAAGACTTTTGGGGCTTATGAGCCAAAAAACAGGTGCGAACAAAAAAAAAGACCCCCGCACCCCCCCCCGGGACAAAGGAGTTGTATGAAACCCGAATATTTAGAATCCTCGCACACCTCAGCGGGCAGTGGCCGTCTTCTCGCGAATGCGTTCGGTCCGCTTGATCGGGCACGCAAGCTGCAGCGACGTGATCGAAATTGGGATGAAATGATCTGGTCAGAATACCATAATTCACAAACCAGAAGGAAGGAATCTTCAAGGAAAGGACTCTCATCATGGGAAAGCTCGTTCAACCCGCTGGCTGTCAAACCCCAATGATCATCCCTGGCAACCCCAATTTAGCATGTAAATTGACCACAGCACTCATGTACTCCCCTGCAAATGACGTGGAGCCGAAAAGGGGGGAGTTCCCAAACGAGAGAGTAACATCCATGCCAACGTCCACATCTCTGTGTCTGAACATCTTACAACAACCCCCCCCCCCGCAAGGTGCAGTGGTTTCCTTTCCCACCTCTTTTCACTCCACAAGGCAGGCAGTGCCCCGTCTCATAGGGCGACCGCGTCTACCCCCAACAGTGGCAGCTATGGGGTCTTAGCCACTCGGGTGGAGGGTCCCGGGCTGGTTCAGGGGCTGTGGGGGATACAACAAAATGAATTGGAATTGTGCCGGGCGATTCTGTCCTTAAGGGGCAACGGTCTTGGCCCTTTGGAAGTGAACATCCTGAGGTTCTCAAACGTACTTTTTGGGTTTCTTTTTCAATCCAACTTGGGGACTGTTGAACTGTTGCCTTCAAACCACTTGGAGGACCTCTCTTTTTTTGGGTAGGACGGGAACTGGGTGCTCTTCGAGCGCATGGCGCGCGCTTTGGTCCTCTGCTCCCCCAGCGCTTACCACTTCAAGGGATCGCCGAGAAACACTCTGCCAAACCGCCCCCAATTGAGTCATAATCAAAACTCCGCATTAAAATGGTCTACCCAGAACCATGTAAAGAATTAAGAAGGCGGCCGCAGCTGTGTACGGCTGGGATTTTCCCTTACTAACCTTCATCTACCCGGGTTTTGATTGTGGCTGGCGGTAGCGGCGCTGTCTATCCTCCAGGGCATTGCCTGGGAATCACGGAGTGAACCCAAAACGTGAAAGAAGGGCCACAAGGGTGTCGACCTGCGAGGAAAGTTCAGCGACTCTTGCCTCACAGGCCGCAGGCAGAATAGCCTCTGAATACTGCACCTTGCACGGGGGCATCCGGCGAAGCCTGCCGAGCCTCGTCCAGGGAACTGTGTAACCACAGAGCACACAACGAGGCTCGCAGGGGTCCCAACTGGTGCCATAGCAGTGGGAGAGCCCGGGGGCACCGGCCAGACGACTGGCCCACCCGGTCATAAGATGTTTACGACGACCCATACAAAACCGAAGTCTTCGCACAGAGGAGTTCCCGAGTGCTTCGCGCAGCTGCCCGGCGTCCAAGCTGCAAAGGAAGTTGATCGGCACCACCTCGATGAGGTACTCTTTCAAAAGGATCTTGCATGCATCCAGACGATCCTGAACCGAGGTCAGAGCATCAAAAATGATGCAAGGGCGGTCATGGATCTGGTTCAAGCCGGGAAGAACCGGGCCCGCCATCTTATCATTCAAACGAGACCGAACCACCAGGGAGGCAAACACAGGCGAAGACCTCCAGCAAGTGATAGATGCGTTAACCTGATCCATAGTGACGTAAAGCTTACGCAGCGGCCTGCCAAGCATAAGATATTCCTCATTCAAGTTGACCAGAACTTTAGTCCCAATGTTGATGCCGTCGTGCCGTGGAAGCATCAGCCCAAAGGGCAACGTCGGCAGCGGAGGCCAAGACTGACAAAGCTCCAACATGTCCGGCTCGGTTTCAACATCAATCGGAATCCCTTGCATTTTGAGAATACCCAGACATAACATCCGGATCTTCCACTGGGCCTCACGAGCAGCCTTGATCTTCCGCAGGAAAGGCGCTTTGTCCCCTGCAATAAAGATGAAGAGCAGCAAGGCCTCAATCCAAGTATGTCTTCTTGAGAGGGTTTCAGCTTTGCCTTTGTCAAATATGCACCAGTCAAGCATACCCCGAAGGAGGTGGAAGTCTTCAATACACCCACCCCAGTACCATAAGTTAGCTTTGACCGCCATCATATCAGGGTCGATAGTCAAGAATTGTCCCCTTTTAAACACAACGTGGCCGTGGAAGGGGGAGCTGAGCAAATAAATGTCTTCCGGCTGAGCGTGCTGTCGATCAGCACGATCAGACTGCACCGGAGCATGATCAAGCTGAATATTGTAATCAATTGTACGGAGATCGCGGTGACGAGCTTCCCATTTACCAAGGAGGTCAACCGCTTGTCGTTGAATCGTACCCCATTTAGCCTGAAGCCTAGGGGGAAGGTCCTTGCAGAACACAAGAAGGTGTTGCGAACAGGGGCTCCACTGTAACCAGGATTCCCAACCTTCATCCCATTGACTGCGCAGATCGGCCCAAAAAGGGCATTCCCAAAACAGGTGCGCCATAGTTGCGTCATGGTGTCTACATTCTCTGCACTCTGGAGTATCAGTGAACTTCTTGACAAATTGCACGTGGAAGGAATTAATCCCGTTGATCAGCACTCGAATGAGCTTTTGTTGCACGGGGTGCCCTTCAGGCAATAAGTGAAGAAGCGCAGTGGTTGTGCCGAAATCGTGGTTGCCGATTCCCTTCCAACAGGTGGAGTTGCACTGTTCCAATTCAGAAGCAATCTTGTTACGGAAGGAATGACTAAGAGCCTTGCTCATAACTTTGCAGTCGCTACTTCCAAAGGTCCAAAGCAATTTACCCTCATCGTTGCTAACTTGCAAATTGTCAATGTTCAAATGAAGCTGCAAATACTCCAAATCCTTCTTAAGCTGGGAAACAGGGCCAATCTTCTTGATAGAGGGAAGAGCTTTCTCCCAGCTCTGAATCACAGCATCCTTGAAGGCGGGCCTCTTGAAGGCATGATTGTTCCAGAAGAGCAGGTTCCTCCAGACAAAGAAAAACTCAGGGTCCATAAGCAAGTAGTTCTTCTGAAACAGAATTCGAGCCGAAAAGGTCCCAAGCTTGCTTCCGTGTGCCGCAGTACGAATAGCCGTGCGAAGCTGCCTGAGCTGATCCTTAGTCGGTCTCAGTGTAGCGCCTGCATACGTAAGCATGGGAATAATGACCGTGCGGACAATCATATTGGTGGTGGCCGCAGGTTGGTTGGCCCTTGCAAGCAATTGTAGCGCGGTAATAGCTCTGTGTATTTTCTTTTCAAACCAAGTCTTAGAAGAAAAGAGCCCGATGGCCAGGGGAACACCAAGGTAATCAACCGATTTGACTTCCTTGACCACTTGTCCATCCCGCCAACAAAGCGGTGTGGACTTCTTCACATCTCTGATTTGACAAGTCTTAATTTGCGTGCGAAAATTATGAAGCGTATCCCAGGCCTCGGTACGTCCAAAGGCATGCTGGAGTTCATTCGAGTCACCTTCCGTGAAAAGAAGCCTATCATCCACATACACATAATTGTAGACAGCGCTGTTGAGATCTCTTGACCAGACCGCCAGCACCAGGCTAGCGGCGGCCATACTGATGGGGTCACCCTGAGGCAACCCGATCGTCCCAAGAACGGGCCGTCTGGCTACTATGCTTGAGGTGGAAACGAATCTCCTCATGTGCCTGATGGAGTGAATCCAGGTGCCGACAGCCGCCTGATGCATACCCCATTCGGATAAGGCATGACAAGCGAGCCAATGTGGGATACAATCGAAGAACTTGACTGTGTCGATTGCCACACCATGAAATGAGAGGTGCGTCTCATTCTGGCATTTCTCAGCCGAAAGAGAGGCGTGCAGCCAAGCCTGGTAGCCACTGCGCTGAGGTACACCCCCCCCAATGATGTTCTCAGGGAGGTTATCAAAGGTAATTTCACCACACTTCAAAAGCCACTTGTGGAAAATGCGCAGAGCCGTGACTTCGATAGTTATGGGTCTCATGGCATCGAGATCAAAGCCGGCTTCACCTTTCGGAATAACCACAAGTTTAGCATTAAGCCAGTGCTTGGGAACCCTCCCACAAATAACGCAAAGCATAAAAAGACTGTGCAGGAAATCCACGCCCCTAGGCGGAAGCTTTTTGAAATGCGCGTAGGTCCAACCACCAAGCCCCGGCGACGAGATACCTTTCCCGTTTCTGAGGATCCGATTGAGGTGTTTCACATTCCACATATCTGCAGGGACTTCGTGGTTGGCGTTGCCTACATCCCAGGACATTTGGTCATCATGCTGGTAAACTGAAGCAAAGAAGTCGCGGATGACATCCACCGTCTCTTGAGGGGTCTTGGTCCAGCCATCGTTCGCTTTGATAAAAGGGGGGGGCTTGCGGGTTGGGGCCCTGACCCATTTGCAAACGTCCCCAATCCATTTACTCTTCTGGGACTTGTCGCCGGGCTGCTGCATTGTGTGCTTCCAAGCCTGAAGTTTGTCAAGTGAGGGTTGACCCAGCTCAACAAAGGCTTCACGGATTTCTTCGTGCTCCTGTGCTTCACTGGATTGTGCAATAAGCTTCCTGTGAAAAATCGCTTTCTGCTGGTTTTCCCAATGCATTTTGACTCCCAGGCCAGGGACTCGCTTGAAGTTGGTATGGCCGTTCCAGAAACGAAACATAGTTGAGGCGAAGATGGACCAGCACATATCCACATCAAATTTCTCATAAGCCACACACCATTCATCTTGCAAGTCATCCCATACTTCGGTGTGATTCCCACACTGCTCGTT